TTGTGGCCTTCGACAGCTTTCTCCGGTCGACGTTTGCGCGCGTCGAGCTCCTCGAGCGCCAGAACGAGCACTGCCGCTTCAAGCTCCACGACAGCGTCGACGCCAAGCTCAAGCTCTCGGACGTCTTTGCCAAGATGGAGGCGCACAAGGTCGCGGTCGCGCTCAAAGAGTACTCGGTGTGCCAGACGTCGCTCGAGCAGATCTTCAATGCGTTTGCGAGCCAGCAAGACGAAGAGAAGGGCGTCGCGCGCGGCATGGACGTCAAGAAGAGCGTCTGAGTCCATATTGCCATTCTACCTTCGCGTATTTTATAGAGAACACCATACAACATATACCTGCATTGACGATATCCACCATTCATGTTTCCACGTCAGTAGCAGAAACGTCGTGGAGAGCAATCCATGCGGCGTGTCACAAAGTTCAGTTTTGATCCGTAGCTCAAGTGCCGCCGACACCACCGGTGCGCTGACCGTCGGCTTGCATAACGTCGTGTGAATGGTAGCCACGTGCCGCAGGGCTCTACCACCACTGAGTCGTCCTGCGCACTTTTCAAGCTGAAGAAAAGACCGGTGAGGAGGCTTGTATGCGGCACAAAGCTGTCGGCGCCAGGCCACGGCCATGCGCTGCGTGCGGGTGCTCTTGCCATCTCTCGCCGGACTCGGTGATCGACCTGAGGATATGTGCGAGCGGCACCGGTGCCCCCTCCATGTGCACGCGGAGTGCGGCGATGTAGTCGCTAAGGGTGCTAGCTGTGAGACTTGCTGCGGTAAAAGCAGCGGCAGCACGAGCGGAAGCAGGCGGCTAAGAGGCGTTCGAGGAGCGGTCGGACGCTCCGAGAGAAACGACGCTGGCAGGTGCAGTGCGCTCTCGGCAAAGAGGGCACTGAGAACACTGCGCATGTCGCCCAGAAGAGCTGCATACGGTCCATCGAGTGGTCCCGACGAGATAAGTACAGTCAATTACGCAGGCAGTAGCGACACCTACCCGTGACTCTAAGATCGTATTTACAGACTCGAGGGTATCAGCGACGACATGGCATGACGCGCACGTGACATCGCGTACAACAAATGAGCGTACACCGTAACACCGAGATAAGATCACGAACGAAGTGAGAGACTTTAGATACTCCTGCATGAGATCACTGCACGTCTTGCTCATCGAGAGACCGAGGACCAAGTAGCGAACCGATTATTGCCATCGATCCTTCGACTTGAGCTACAAACCAGTGTTACACCAAACATAGTATAAGAAGAAGTAATACCTGTCGATAGCCATGATAACAAAGGCACGCTCGGGTCGTCTATCGGCGCAACAGTGAGAGGGTGGGCCTCGTCGTCTCACTAAGAAGCAGCTTGCCGACCGATACCGTGCCGAGAGCGCTCTCTCGTGCCACCATTGCACTAACGGCGCATTGTAGAGAGCTACGCCCTCGGCTGTGTGTCTGGTCGACCACGGCGTCAGCGTTAGAGGCGTCTACTCGACCGCCTCAAAAAAGCCGTCCGGACCTGGCACAATGAGCGCACATGCTTTTTGTCAGGTCATACATGCTCGCAACGACGTAGGAGTCCGACGAGCCGCGACAGGGTCAACACCTCGTTCGCTTCAGGCACCTAGTCGCTCAGTGAGACAAATGAGGTTTCGCAGCAGTGTGGTACCTCGTGCCAGACGCAGACAGCCGCGCCCATGGCTTGACGAACGAGGTCGGTGCCAGACTCGCGTTGGCGCCGTAGACCAAGGGCGCGCAGCCACTGCTGGTGCCCACCGAGGGCGAAAAGCTCCGCTCGTTGGCAGCTCGAGCAGCCATTGGGTCGAACTACAGGCTCGCTGCGGCGCAAATTTGTCGTTGCGCTGACAGCAGTCTCCGCGCCGGCTGCCGTGTGCAAGCGTCGGGACGTCATGCGCGGGTGCTCGAGTCAGCATCCATCGATCTCGGCGCCACGCGATGTCGTGGGCGCTCCTTCTGCCGCGCTGATGTCGCCTTGACCGTTTGGAATTGCACTTGCTGGTGGTATCCGGAGTGTGTCCGGATACGTGGACATGACGTGGCACGCGAGCGAGCTTGACGAGGGTAGTCCTGGCACAGGCGCTCGACGTTGTCGCTGTCGGCGCTTCTCTCTATAGACTACCTACTTATCTTACAGTGCGTTGACCCCCAACGTAGAAGCAATGCCCTTTCTACCGCTGCGGCACCGCTGACACGACCAAGTACAGGTGCTGAAGCGGCACATCCGCGAGACTCTTTTCAACTCCGCGAACTTTAGCGTGGGCACTCGAAGTGGCGCCGATACAAGATAGACCGATGCGTCGCTCCTGGACTCTTGTCCTCGGTATGTGATACCTAGATGGAGATAAATATATCTTCCAGCTCGTCGCCCTTTCCCTAACGGCGTCTCCAGCCATCAGCGACCAATAAGGGCGTGTCCTGGCTTGTCTTGGTTGGAGCATGGGTTGTACAAATCATTCAGACGCAACTCACGTCATATGAATGGAGTATTTCTCACGTTTTGCGACCTCTGAAGAGTGAGGTGACGTATCCTTTCACACGTTTCACACATGTGATAATGGAGCATCTCCGCGAGTTTTAAAGTCAAGTGCATTGTAAGCTTTCAGCCTCTCGTCCCAATCGCTCCACAGGTTGCGATGGCTCTGGACGTAAGAAGTCCAAAAATGGTCATACGAGTCGCATTCTCATTGCAGTGGAAAGCGTGATCGTCGCCACAAGTGTAAAAGTCAAAGGCTACGGCGTGCCAATGAGGTCGGTTTGTTTCAACATTTTAAAGGAGCTTGGTGCTTCGTCGTGAAAATTGCAACGGATGCGGTGCAGGGGCCGGATCGCAAGGTCAGCGCGCTGGCAACGGAGGCCTTTCTCGCATGCAGTCGTGGCGTAAGGGTGTACTGCATGCCACAGGCACCACCAAAGCTCTCACATAGAGCCTGAACAGCGGCCCTCGAGTCAGCCTGGAAGTGGGCTGAACACTTACGTCAAGTACGTCAATGAGTTCATATCCCAGCAGGACTATCTTTCAGAAGCAGTCTGTATTTATTCAGTCGCGTACTGTCCGTGAAATGATTTGACGTCGTTTGATGTCCACGGAGCGACGGCGCACCACACACGCGCCAGCAGTCGGCGGCGCGGAAAAAGTCGTATCTTTCGCCCCAGGAGTTTCATGGGACTTTAAAACACGAAAGGCCCAGCAGTTTCATTGTACGAAAAGGCTTGAATCTAATTGGTGCAGATGAGACGTCGCGCGCTGTGATTGGCCACAAATATTTGCGCTCCAGGCGACACTGCAGCTGTTCATATTTCAATTTGCCGCCAAGATGAAGGTTTGCTTTGGGGTCTGCCTCGCCATGGCCATTGCCGCCCAAGCCAACACCCACAAGAAGGGGGCATCCGTCGCGTCAAAGCACGGAGTGGAGGCCGCGACAGCGTCCCGCGTTCTCGCTGCTGCCCACGGTAAGTCAGCGTCGTCACTAAACCAGTTAGAAACCCCAACGCTGTCATAGCGCACAGCACGGACTACGAACCCAGCACGATTGATGCGTTCGATGAAGCCGGCGCGATCAAGGACACGCCATACGACTTTCTGAGCGCCGCCCAAGCGTCTCGATATCGGTCGACGCACGACGACCACGCGCACGACGGCCAGTACTGGGACAACGACCACGCGCACCACGGCCAGTACTGGGACGACGACCACGCGCACCACGGCCAGTACGGGCACGACGACCACGCGCACCACGGCCAGTACCATGACGACGTGCACGTGGAGGTGATTGCCGACGAAGACGGGTGCCCCGAGGTGCCGTGTCGCGAAGTCTCGGACTTTGTGAATGGCAAGTGCATGTACACGCCGCAGCCGCATGGTACGCTCTGCCCGGGCCAGAGCTGCGACAACGACGGTCCGTGCGACGCCGACGAGAAGGACTACTGCGACAGCGACGGCACGTGCCTCAACGGCTACAAGGATCAAAGCACCGTCTGTCGCAGTGCCCGCGACGCCTGCGACACGGCCGACTACTGCAGTGCCGACAGCAGTCAGTGCCCCGACGACGAGTTTGCGCCGTCGACCAAAGTGTGCACCAAGATGGGCAAGTCCACGGGGGGGCCGTGCGACGCCCCCGACTACTGCGACGGCCGCGGTCACTGCGTGGACATGTTCCAGTCCAAGAAACACGTGTGCCGCCGCGCCGCCGACGTCTGCGACGAGGCAGAAACGTGCACGGGCGTCAGCGGCGACTGCCCCAGCAACAGCTTTGCACGCAAGGGCATCGAGTGCACCTCGATTGGCAAATCGTCGGGCGGCGCGTGCGACAGCGTTGACTTCTGCGACGGCTACGGCAAGTGCATTGATCACTTTAAAAGCACGAGCCATCTCTGCCGCAAACCAGTCGACGTTTGCGACGAGCCCGAGTACTGCTCGGGCGAGTGTGGCGTCTGCCCCGACGACCTCGCCGCGCCCGTGGGCAAGGTCTGCACCGAGATTGGCAAGTCGAGTGGTGGCAAGTGCGACGGCGTCGATGTCTGCGACGGGCACGGACGCTGCATCGATACCTTCCTCCACAGCGGCGTGGTCTGCCGCAAAGCGAGTGACATTTGCGACGTGTCCGAGTACTGCACGGGCTACAACGGCAAATGCCCCCACGACAAGTTTGCATCCCGAACGACCGAGTGCACGCCGATCGGAGAGTCGTCCGACCACGCGTGCGACGGCGTCGACTACTGCGACGGCCACGGCAAGTGCGTCGACCACTTTGAGAAGGACACGCTGTGCCACGTCGCCGAGGACCTCTGCGACACGAACCTCTTCTGCAACGGCGCCCACGCCTCGTGCCCCCGCAGCACGCACGACACACACGACTTCGGGAACGACTACGCCTCTGTCTTTGCGTACAAGGCGCGTCAGTGCTCGGCCAAGGCAGCGCAGCAGTTTGTCTCGGTGTACGATGCGCCGGGGGGGCATGCAGCGCTCCTCTTGGTTGCTGTCGCTATGGTGGGTGCCGTCGCGGCTATCGTTGCCGTCTCCGTGTCCAGGAAGGTGGCACCGTCGGCCACGTCGATGGAAGATGGCTACGTGCCACTGACGTAAGAGACGCACGAAGCATCGCCCTCTCGTCGCCGTGTTCATGAGTTGCTGTCGGTTGTCAGTATAATAGATATTGTTCAATATGTGGAAGCAATTGTGTACGAAATGGATGACGTTTTCCGCAGTGGTTTGAGCCAGCCAAGATACTTGAAAGCACCGCGCAATAGATGGACGATGGAACGGCATGCATTTGGTGCGCGCTTCGTAGCCTCGATAGCGATGCCATTGAGTGGTGCCCCGTATGTGGGATTCTGAAATCGCGCGCTGGTGCTGCCAGCAAATACGCCATCTCGCCCAATGGCCTTGCAGCGTTCCATTCTTTTTGGCCAATGAACACGCGAGACCTCTCCACCGCATGCCACCGACGCATACAAACACCAAGTGGTAGAAAAACCCATAAAACGTCATTTCCCGGTGGCCGGCATGCTGGTGACGTTCGTCGTGGACACGAGCGCGTCCATGGCGCAGAAGAGCGCGTGCGGCATGTCGCTCCTCGACTTTGCCAAGTCTCTGGTCGAGACGATGGCCAAGAAGCTGCTGGCGCGCAGCCTCAACCGCGTCAACTACATGCACTTCATGCTCGTGACCTTCAGCGGCGTCGTCGTCGGCATGGAGCACTCGACGAACCGCGACCTCTTCTACCGCGAGCTCAAGTACCTCGAGGCGCGCGACTTGAGCGACGTCGGCGGCGCGCTCTCGACGGCCTTCGACCTGATCAACCGCGAGCGTGCCAAGATCTTTTGCGACAACTACGGCCTCGGGCGCCTGCCCTTCAACGCGCATATGTCGCACGTCGTGCTCATCACGGACGCCGGCGCGCTCACGACGCTCGACGGCGTCCAGCCCGACCTCGTCGTACCGCCCACGAGCCTCTCGGCGCTCGACCTGACGCGCCAGCCCTTTCGCTGGGACCAGGTCCTTGCATCTTCGTCGTTCGCACGCCTCATGCGCCATTCCTAGCGCCTCTTTACGTTTGCCGTCCAGCTCTCGGCCGAGTCGCTCACGAGCAAGGCGCCGGCGATCAACCCGCCGTTCTACTCGTCGCTCTGCGAAGAGACGGGCGGGACGCTGCACCTCTTCACGAACGGCCGCGTGACCAAGCCGATGCTCGAGAAAGAGTGAGCTCTCGCTGCCATCACGCGCCGACTCCTCATAACGTTCTAGGGTCGAGTCGATCATTGCGCGCATGAAGCCCGGCGTGCTCGTCAAGTTTGCGTGCGACGGCTCGGACGGCGAGACGTACGCGCCGACGAAGAACGCGCTCACGCCCAGCGCGACGCTCGGCCGCGACTACACGTGGCCGATCCCCGAAGCCTTCTGGGTCGACCGCAACACGACGAGCCTCGGGCTGCGCGATGCGCACCCAACGCTGATCTACCGGCGCTCGGTCGAGTCGCCCACGGACGCTGCGACCAACCAGCTCGTGCTCGATACGCTCAAGTTCCCGACCGACTCGTACGGATCGAGTCGTCGCTCAACCCGTCGCCGCCCCGCGGCGCGCGCTGGCTCGTGTACATGGCCAACTCGAAGGGCGACGGCCGCCTCGGCGAGCCGTTTGGGTTTCTGCGCACGACGGCGGCGGCCACGCACCTCGTCTTGCTGCCGTACAACTACCCCGTGCTCTTCTCGCTGCTCGTGGACGCGGCGCGGCAGCACCAGCCGACGACGCCGGCGAATCCGTGGCTCTTCCAGGCCAAAACCATGTCGCCGGGCTGGAAAGACGCGTTCTCGACGTATGTGCTGAGCTGCCCGAGCTACTATAGCCTTCCGCTGCGCAAGATCCTCAAGCGCTACAACCTCCATGAGCTCGTGCCCGACTTGGCCGAGAACGGGCGCTGCTACCAGGTACGAACGAGGCTCCAGTGTTTGATAAACATCATATCGGGAGGATCGTCGTAGGTGACCAACCACCTCACGCGCATGAAAGACGTGGCCATGGTCGAGAGCAGCGAGAAGCCGTCAACGCGCCCGGCGAGCAGCAGCAATCATGTCTCGCCCCACTCGACGCCGTCGCAGTCGCCGTTCCGAGCGACAAAGGAAGTCGTGACGGGCCAGGCGCCGAGTCTCCTCTGCCGCACACAGCTGCTGCAGGCGCATGCGGCGCAGCGCCGGACAGTCGTCGCCCCGTCGCGCGACCTGGCGCGGGCAACCGAGTGGACCGGGACGCTCGCGCGACTGGCGCCGAGCGCGTCGACCTTGGCCAACAGCGACCGCGCCAAGTTCTTCTTGACGGTCGAGGTCATGTCCGACTACATTCCGACGGTCCTCAAGAACGAGCTGCTCCGGAACCCGTTCTCGGAGCCCGAGAAGGACGAGCACACGGTCGAGGGGTCGAAGCGCCGGAAGCTCGAATTCTCGCTCGGCTCGCCGTACAAGAAATCGGCGGCCAAGAAAGGCGACGACCTCATTCTGCAAGGCGAGGCCGCCGACGAAGCCGCGGCGCTCGGGTCACCGTCCTCGAGTCCGTCCTCGCGCCGGCAGCGGTCGCGCCAAAAGTACAAGAAACAGTGGAAAACAACGTCGTCGTCTGGGAAGAGCAGCCCGACGCACCCGTCGCCGACGTCGCCCGAGACAGCGCTGCTCCGCGTGCCCCTCTCCGTGACGGACGAGGACGCGCACAAGGTCATGGCCGCGACCGCAACGCGCCTCGGCGTGACCTCCACAGACGACGACAGCGACAAGCTCCTGAGTCGGCGCGTGTACCACATCATCATTGAAAACAGCAGCGTGTGGAAGGACGTGGCTGCCCGCGTTCGCAGCCGGTCGTTCCAGCCCAAGGTGCCAATATCCTTCTTGCGTGTTCGGAGGCTGACGCGATGTGTAGGACACGGCCACGGTCCTCAAGGCCCTCGGCGAGATCAAGGGCGACAAGGCCGTCCGGCTCGGCTACCTGCACCTCGCGGCAGCGCTCGCCAAAGCCTTCAAGCGGTCGCTCCTCGTCAAAATGCTCGCCAAGACAGAGGCCTCGCTGCGCCAGGAAGCGTAATCCAATTCATATGATATTGTCGCGCTGTTGTGCTGGCCGACGACGCTGCATCCAGTAAACATACAGTGTATCTTGGAGGGGTTTGAGACCGTGGCTTCCTCCAAACGACAACACGGCGCCCATGACAACGACAACATTATTATCGTCGCTCACTCGTCGTCGTCACCCATCGACGCGTCGTCGTCACCGTCGCCCTTGTCCGTGGGTTCGGTCGTCGCGGGCGCCGTTGCTTCCTCGTCGTCGTCCTCGACCGCCGACTCGTCGTCGTCAATCTCAATCGCGGACACCTCGTCTTCAATCTCAATCGCCGACGCCTCGTCGCTCGAAATGGACGCCTTGAGCTTGGCCGCCGCTGCGCTCTTGGACTGACGCGCCGTCGTCGCCCGCGTCGGCGCCGCTCTGGCGCGCTTCGATCGCGACGTCCGCGTGTCGTCGCTCTCGTCGCTCTCGATCGCGTCGCTCCCGAGCTCGTCCTCCTCCGTCCTACTCGAATGATCAATGAGACGAGATGACGGAGTTCGTACACGCTGTCGTTGGCCTCGAGCTTGGGCGCCGCGCGAAACTGCATGCCGCGCTTGTACACGCCCTTGCTCAGCACCTCCTTGCGCGTGCCGACCGCGTTGACCATCTAGCCGCCGACATGGAGCTCTCTCTATACGTCTCTTCCGACGTACCCAGGATTGCATCGCATCCGTGAGCTCGCACGTGAACGACGGGCCAAACGCTGCGGCCATCTTGGCTTTGAGCTTGGCGTTCTCGGGCACGAGCGTGCACACCTCGTCGAGCAAGATGTACAGCAAGGCGTCATCGGTGGGCGGCGCGTCATCGGTGGGCGGCGCGTCATCGACCTTGACCTCGGCGACCACGTCTTCGACCTTGACCTTGTCTCGCTTGCGTGCGATCGGCGCGTCATCGTCGTCTTCCGTGTCGTTGTCGTCGTTGGCTGGCGCGTCGACCGACCACTCGAGGTTCTGGAGCAGCGTCCACCACTGGTGGAGCATCTGTTTCTTGGACGCGCGCTTGATCACGTTGGTGACTTCGTGCAAGGCGAGCATCTCGACGCAGACCCAGATCGCGACCTTGTTGTGGTGGTTGCGAGTGCACGCGCCGTCCATGCGCGGGTGCTGCAGCAGCTGCAAGAGGTACGGCGCCGCCTCCGCAAACGGCACCGCCGACACGCCATAGAGCGCACGCGACAAGACGTGGTGGCTCGCGCTGCTGATGAGATTGCAGTCGGCCGCGTGGTAAAACACCGAGAGCATCTGCAGCGTCTCGGAGCAAAAGCCGTGCTCGTCCGAGATGACCATCTCCTTAAGGAACGGGTGAAAGTAGAGCTCCAAGAGATGCTGCAACGTCTAGGATCCTTTGAGTACAAGCGACGACGATGATGGAGCGAGATCACCTCGAGGTCCTGGATGCGACCGAGGAGGAAGAGCTTGATAAAGCCGCGGACAACGAGCGTCTGCGTCGGCAGGTCCCACTCGTCCAACTGGCGCTGGTCGACGCAAAAATAGGTCGCAAGCCCGTCGAGGATCACGCGCGACGTGACGACCTCATCGTCCTCGACGACCGGAAGCACTTCAAACTGCTTGAACGCCGTGAAAAAATCCAGTAGCACCTGCCCTCGGTCATGAGTCACATTCAAGAAAAAGAGTGGGAGAGTGCGCGAGAGAGTCGTCGTACTTGGATGCACACGTGCTTCGAGTCGCCGTCTTCGTCGTCGGCGTTGAGGACGCGCCAAAACACGATCGCGTGCTTGGCCGCCATTTGCTACCAAATATCAATGTATCAAGCGAACATTCGGCATGTGAAGTGGTACGCGGTCGAGGAGGCAGTAGAGTCCGAGCCCTTCGAGGCCTTTCTCTCGGAGCGCGGGGATGTCGCTGTCGATCGCGGGCAAAATCATGTGCAGCACGCCGGCAATCGTCGCGTTGCGCAGATTCTAGCGCACATATGTACATGTACCCAGAGGACAAGAAACGGACCTGGCGCGTGAATTGGAGGAGCTTGGCCGTGAGCTCGAGGCAGCGCAGCCACTGGAGCGTCTTGGGCTCCTCGAGCTGCTTCTCCAGTGCGAGGGCTTCGGCCGAGAGGGCGTCGTATGCCTCGGCCGAGAGCGACTCGTCGTCGATCTGCGCGTCGACGGCGTCCAGGCGCTCGGTGAGCTCCGTCCGCGTCTCGGGGCTCATCGATTCCATCTCTTGCATGAGGTCGTAGAGATCGCTCGTGATCTCCGTCATGTATTGCACAAACTCAAACTCGGTCGAGCGGCAAATCATCGCGAGCAGCATGACTGCGTCGTGGAGCCACTTGGACTCGAAGGCCACCGTTTGGAAGAACGTTCGGAGAAGGTGGATGAGCTGGCGGCGCCCGACCTCGTCCTGAAAGTCGAGGGCAACGCCCAGCTGCAGCACGTACTGCCCGACGACGAGCAGCTCGTCCTTCTCGGGTTCGTCGACCGCGTCGACGAGCTAAAGTTGCATGGTTGATACCTTGATACCTCGATACAGAAAACGTGTACCGAGGTGTGGAGGTGCCGGAGCAAGTCGCAGTACGACGAGATACTCGGCAAGAGCAGCTCGAGCATCTCGTCGTTCTTGATACTTTGATAGTAGAGGCACTGCTCCTTCCAGAAGAAGGCGTCGGCGACGCTAAGCGCGCTGCCAAAGAGCGCCTTGTCCTTGACGTTCTGGGACGAGAGGTCGGCTGCGTGCTGCTTGAGGAGCCAGCGACAGAGTGACGAGCACACCGCCGGCGCCTTCTCGATCGTGAGCTGCGACAAGAGCTACCGAGCAAGAATGGCAAAAGGACGACGTTGACTGTAACTCTACCTCGACGGGAGACCCGTGGGCGGCGCGGAGCCACGCCAGCACCATGTTCTGGCACGCCGAGACAACGCTCTCGTCGCGGTCGTTCATGCCCTGGTCCAGCATGTGCACGCGGTCGGATGGCGACAGAATCACGAGTGTGTCGGCCTGTACATCGTCAACCACGCGCCATAGCAGCATATCTCGTGTACCGTGGCCAGCACGTTGAAGACGGTCGCGCGCACCTCGGGCGAGATGTCGCGGACGCGGATCAAGAGGTCGCCGATCGACGTCATGCGCACGGCGACCTTCTCCGTCGCGGCGACGCGGACCTCCCTACGCTCAAACGTGAGGACAGAGTAGTTCGTATGGAGGACGCGTACTTGCTCGGGTCGGTCACGGCGAGGCGCAACACTGCGTTTGAGATCGCGTCGACGTCGTCGATCGACAGCTTTTGCAGCAGCTGCAAGCCGACGACGCTTGCGGCGCGGATGGTTGGGAGCTTGTCCTTCGCGCGCTGCAGCAGGATCGTGGCCACGTCTTCCCAGAGTTCGTCGCTAGGTACCGAGGTATTATGCGATCGTATGGTTCGTCGACAGCACGTACGAGATGTCGGCAGCGTGGCCGAGCAAATGGCCCGTGAGCTGCGTGCTGTGGCAGCGGACGTTGCGGTCCTCGGCCTCGCAGCCGCGCAGCGCAAACCGCACCAAGCGCGCAAAGTCCGCCGGCGAGTACTTCACGGCGCTGACGATGCGAAGGAGGCGCTCAATGTCCTGGCCCGACCGGCCGCGGCCGTCGTGCTTGAGCGGCCCGATGAGCGCCAGTTGCAGCGCATGGAGAAAGCCGTGGCTGTCGCCGTCGTACAGCGCCTGGAGGCTCTGGAGGTTCTTGGACATGTGGAAGCCCGCGTCGTGCTCGGACGATGCGTCGTCCACGACCCCGCCGAGGACTTCGTGGAGGTCGGCCCGCAGCTCGTCGCCGTCCGCTCCTGCCATGCTGCCGTTGCTTTTTTGAATTTTAAAAAACAGCCACCGACGTGTTTAAAACAATCCAAACCAACACCAAACTCGAACCCTCTCCACGTCATGACGGCGAGCGCGTCACGTCTTGTACGCTCGTGCTAGTCGTCTAAAGAGAAGGTAGACGTGCTTGACGGAACAAGCAGCTCATGTAAACGATATGGTATCGATGCTGACGCGCCTATGCAAGCACTGAATACGCACCAGCTTGTTGGCGCCAAGAATTCAGCGCCTTCGAAGATCCGCTTGAGGTTTCATCGCATCAACTTGAAGTGAAAGCTTGCGATAGCTTCGTGGCTGTGATCACATCAACGACGACAACTGTAGTAGACGACAACTGTAGTAGACGACGTGCGATTTAAACGATGCTCAGTCGCGAGGCTCGCGGTAGCTTGACGCCACGGGGCTTTGCGGCGCGTCGAGCAGCCGGCGCACGGCTTCCTTGCGCTGGCGACGGATCTTGTGGCGTCGCCCGGACGAGATCGCAGAGAAGGTGAGGAGTGTCCAGAGGACGGCCGAGGCCGCGAGGTAGAAGCTCGGGCCAAAGCCCCAGCAGCTCCAATTGCGCCACGTCGCGCACGCCACAAGCTGCGCGTGCACAAGGCCAATGTCGCTGATGCTGGGCTTGAGCTGGAGGCTCCAGAGCATCAGAACGCAGAGCTGCAAGAAGCCTACAACGACAATGTGATGAAAGACGACAGCGCTCCGCTGCAAAGGACCGTTGGCCATCGTGCTGAGGCCCGCGATCGTCTCGGCCGCCGTCCACTCGAGCGTGTGGAGCGTGCGCAGATTAAACGTCAGCGCCACCAGGTTTAACGCGAGCTACCACGGTGCTATCAGTGGGCGGCGAGAGCATGCGTATTACCGTCAAACCGTGCAGGACGTGCGTTAAAGTCCACGCGACGTCGCAGAGCTTGCTCTGGTAGTCGCGCAGCGTGCCGTACATCCAGTTGGGCGCGGCAAAGTCGGTGGCGCTACGGACATGCTCGAGGCGTGCATGCGATCGACTAACTACCATAGCGCGCCGTAGCTAACGTAGGTGGTCGAGGCCAGGAACGGCGTCGTGAGCTGTGGCGCGTTCTCGACGGTCGACGAAAAGCCAAAGAGCCCGAAGCCTTGGTGGACGCGGACGTTGGCAGGCGACTCGAACGACTGGGCGAGCCACGTCGGGGACAGCGTCGCGGCAAAGAGGCAGCCGAGGCTCAGCAGAGACAAGACCGCGGCTACAGAGGAGAGTGAGGGGCGCGCTCTTGGAGAGCGATGGTTGCGCACCGGTGGCCTGGCTTCGCATTGCCTGCGCCGGAGAATGGCGTCTGACGATCGGTCGCCTGTCGCGATCCGTGTCACTTGACGCCGCCTGATTGTCTGCAGGCGAACGGTACAGTGACCCGTCGAACGTTAGCACCCAACAAGTTCTGTTGGCCCCAAGGACTCCAGCTCGGGTTCGAACCCAAGGTTTACGGCTACGATTATGCCATCAAATGGCTGACGACATGAGATGCACGAGCCTCGAACGTTCGGGCGCCCTGACACCTCGCGACAGCCATCCTTTAAGGGCCCTGCCCACAGACCTTGGCCTTCTTTTCTGTTCTTTTCTTCCAGCCGCATGACGCGCGCTTGACGAGATACTAACTGTGCCAATCTGTGCTTCGATCAGTTTGCACCAATGAAAGTGTGCGAATGCGACCTCACTTATACCTGAAGCCGGCGACCGTCAGGATTCCTTGTCCAAGTTTGTGCAAAGCGTCTGGCGTCATCCCGCAGTCGCCACGGTTTTACTACGTGCTATCACCCGTTGACCTCGATCAAGTATACTGGTTGCGGACAGCACACCCGGTTGCATGTGACAGCCGACGATGCCGCTCACTGGTCAAAGCTTATAGGAGTCCAGCAGCTTCCATCTGCGTACACTATGTTTGTTGAATACAATGGTGAGATTACCAACATGTGCTGGGTGACGCGCTGCAACTTGTTGAAGTCGGCATACAAATTCCAAGTGTGGCGCGGAAATTTTGGCGCGCGTTGGAATTCTGCCGCCTTTGCATACAAATACCAAGATAATACAATTCAACGAATCCAACAGCAAGCGGCAACCAGCGACGCCGCAGCGGTCAAATCTCATTTTCCTCGCAAGCCGAGAATGAGCAACCACGCCCACCCGGTGCCGCCACCCCACCCGTTCGGATCGCCGCACCCTGCCGCGAGTGCGACTCCGTTCGCTGGCAACACCAAGTGTCGCTACGCGTACAAGGATTGCCAAAACGTCCGGTCCTCCAAGCAGAACGGCGACCTCCACACGCTCTGTGAGTTTCACCGGTCCAAGGCGAACACAATCCAGAAGCTCTATGCGCGCAAGAAGCGCCATCTGAGGCGAACGCTCAAGGCCGCCGGCATCACGCCGCCGCCGCCGCGGCCCCGCGCGCGGCGCGTGGACCCGATCCCGTACCACAACGACTCGGACAGTACGGGCGACGACGGCACGTCCAACAACGGATCGCTCACCGAAGACGACGTCGCGATTCTAAGAGAGCTCATCTGAGAGCCTTGTCTATACCTAGGAATGCAGGCAGGTAGTGGCGTCGATCTTCCTTATTTAATCATCAACGTATAGCAATGTACGAACGCGCTTCTCTCGTTGTTCGTAGCTAAGGGAGCTATTTCGATGTCGATGATGAGCTCAAGGAGCGCGTCGTCTCGTGGAGGAACTCCAGCCACTTTTGCCAAGTCGTTTGCGACTTGGTGTGACGCGAAATCGCGCATTGGATCGTTCTCTTGTGAGGGCTCTAGTCCACGCAAGGGGATTCCTTTCTCAATGCAGTACATAATCCGTGGTGATCTGAGGGTCATTGCACCGGTTGGTCGTTTTTGGCTGGTATAAAATGAAGGTTTTGCGTCCGACGACGGGGCAGCAGAAAGATTCCCTTCAACGATGTTGTTTTTAGGCGACCGTAGGTGCAAATCTGTGGCTTCTACCCGCCTAGTCTGCGATGGTCCAGCAAGCAATCAGCGCGTGGAGTAGTAGCATGCACTGCACCTCGCATGTGCCATTTCAAAATTGGTTGGGACGACGATCTGGCGACGAGACACCACCTGAGAGATCGCATGGCGCGCGCAACCTTCTCTCCGTGCAGTCGACACGGGTGTATCAAACTACAGACCGAGGAGCGTGCAGCGTCATACGTGTCAGGCTCAAGCGCCTCAGATTTTGAGTTTCAGATTCACGCTCGTGTCGCAGGCACATCCCATACGGTGTCCCATATCAACAGCGCAATGAATCGCAGTGATCGGGGCCGTACGTGCATTGCATGTACGCGTACATTCAATACACACATTTAGCTTACGAAGTCGTACACAGTACATAAACCGTACGTACACCTGAATTTGCCCTTTGTATCCGGATGCGAATTTCATTTTGAAATTCATGCAAGAGCGGAACGCCGGCATGGTCCGACATGTCATTTTCGAATTTGCACCATGTCCAGCACGTGCCGTTACTCGTACAAGGAGTGCCCGCACCCGCGCTCGACCAAGAAGGACGGCTCGCCCCACGCGCTCTGCGAGTTCCACCGCAAGAAGGCCAACGCGATCCAGCGCACGTATGCGTCGCGGCGCCGGCGCGAGATTCGCGCGTTCAAGCAGCGCCAGAACGCCGAGCTCGCGGAGCTCGTGGCGCTGGACCCGATCCCGTACTCGCCGACCTCCGACGTGACCATGGACGACGTCGACCTCGCGGTGCTGGACGCGTTCGTATTTGAGGACCCCATCAACATCGACGCGTGGCTGGACGAGCGCAATTTTGAGTCGTTCAGCGATACGCTCACGTGCGAAGACATTGACTCGATGTGGACCTTCCTGTGATCCAAACCTTGCTCCTCTGCGTTGATTGTTGTAATTGCTTGTCTAAGTACGCGTCTGTCTCGTTCTCGAAATCGTGTTGGCGCTACCGCTCGTTCTTGTTCAAGGGGATGTTACCGCCACCCATCATCTAGGAACCGAACGGGTGCGACACATGCGTCGACGAGGCCTCTCCGACGCACGCTTCCTACTCAAAGCTTTGGATCGGCGCTCGTTGAGGGCATCCCTCGGCCTCTCGTCGAGCAATATCATTATACTGGTCGACCATTTAATTGTACCGGTATGAACTCCTTCAACGCAGGTTAAGGAGCAACCGTACCGTACGTGAGGGGGCAGGTTTTATGCTGCGTGAACCCAACCCGCGCGTGGCGTCGACACCTTCGTTGCATTGAACGTCGCGTCGGCAGCTTCCGTGCGGTATCCGGGGCTCCTTGGCACCGGCTTGTGGTTTGGAAAGTGCATTGTGGCGGACTGGACGAGAAAATTAGGTACATGTAGCGGTGTTTCCAGAAGCACTGCAAAATGATATGCTGCGGTTTCACCAACTACGGTAACTTGCGTGTATGCCAGAAGGACAACCATCCAAACGGCACCTTTGTAAACATCAAGGGATATTTCTTTTTTCTTTGTAAACGTCGACAACGACTCGTGCAATTCTCTCCAGTTCCGACGTTGAGCAAAAGATCACCTCGATGCCTCGATGCTGGCTCGGGTATGCAGGTGGAATGACAGAAGCCGAGTGCACCCACTTTCCACTTCGCGCGACAAGAAGCACATCACAAATCCTTGACACTAGCATGGTTACTATGAAGGAGGACAGAAGCTACGGAGACGCGCGTCGAGGGCTGTCTTGCGGCCACTTCGACGCCTCGCTGTTGAATGATCGACGAGCGTATCGTCATTCGGATCCGAATCCGGTTCCGTGTCAGGTTTCGTGTGGACCGAGCAACCGATAGTGCGTGGACACTTGGGTAGCCAGTGCTGCTGACGACGTTGCGCAAGGCCCTTGTGCGTCAAACGCCGGGGCTTCTTGCAAGCGATGCCTCAAGGACGTGGCATCGGTGCTATGCTTCGTCGCCTAGGCTGCGAATTTAAATTTCAGCAGAGGACGTATCGAGGGATTGCCATTGGCCGTCCTGTCAGTAGCGCGAGCTTGGAAGAGAAACCACACTGCTGCGATCACCAATTCCTGTCAGCAACGACTCTGCGACGGGTTGTCGTGTCGAGGTGTTGCTTCGAATGCATCGCCATGATGGCGATCAAACCGAACGCAGTGGTTTTCAACCTGCAGTGAGGGGACCTTTAAGCTACATGTAATTCATTCCCTTGGCTTGTGAGCACGAGACGGAGACACGCAACAAAGCGAGCTTTCACTTCAAGTAAACATCCTTCTGGTTCTCATTGGGAGGTACAATCCCTACAATCCATTCCAGTAGATCTATTTCGACCCGACTATGTCCCTCGAAAAGCAACCAACGTCCATGACCAACGTCCATCAGCACGCGCAACACGCGTATCCGGATGCCAAGAAATAAATCAACTTGGCGATCCCCTGCACCAGCGCGCGACCCATGAATTGCCTTATGTAGTATCTTGGATGATGTGGATCCACCGTGGGGTGGCGTTGCCTTACCCGGTACTTTGGCATCCAGCGCCTCGATTGCCTCGACCATGCACAAGGAGTTATTATTGCTCGAGAGCTTTGTCGCTGCGTGGAAAGCTAGAGAAACACGCGTGTGAGCTCTGCTGCTGGACGTTGGGTAATGCAGCACCTCGCACCTCCGGCATGGATGGATGTACACACAAAAAACGTACACACAAAGCAGTACCCAATACTCCCAAGGTAGTTCATAGCTTTGATGAAACAACCCCCCGCAAAATACGCATACTGCGTCGCGACCTAATCAATCCACTCGGGCCCAGACCGGTCCGAGGTACTTTTTAAGGTAATTAGGAAACGATATCCGGATGATGCGCGCTGGTCCTGATAGCATTTCATTTCTCATTTGATCGTTCGCATGGCATCTTCTCGCCACGTGAGCTTTGGCGCGGCCATCGAGTATTTCTTCGCCGTCGGCTTCAACGGCAGCGCGCTGCCGCACGACGCTATGCCGGGCGTCGGCCTCAGCGGTCGGCCCATCGCGAGGCGCCAGACCGACCTCTCGGCAACATCAGTCGACGTCGCCCACGCGGTGCTGCGCTACTCGGCCAAGGATCGCCTTTTCTTTTTGAAGCGCGCGGGCTTCACCAAGGACGATGTGACGCAGCTGAGTCTACGCCAGCGACAGCTCCGCATGGACCTTCTGCATTCGATCGCCGACGCACAGAAAGAGGCTCGTCCCCGCAAGCGGCGCGCCGAGAGCTGTAAAGCGTCGTTGAAATATAGACGTCTTGCACTATAAATCGTTGGTCTTCATTTGTCGCGGCAAGCGGGGCTTGAACTGGCAAAGGCGTCTGATTTTGAAACGAGTTTGTCTCAATTTCGACCACGGACTCGGAACACTCGCTCATAAATCCACTGCTGAAAAGTCGTCGTGTAGGATATTGCAGAGACGCTTGTGCACGCGGTGCTCCTAATGCACTTAAAAGTGGCATATGCCGAATTCAGACGGAGGTGGTCCACCTGCGTGTCGCAAACGAAGAAGAACCCTACACCTAGTATATATTACCCCGTACATTCTAAAACGACATGGTCGCGCGCTGGAGCTCGTCTTCCAGTGCGGTGATAATCTCGTCGGGCGTCGGACGCAGCTGCGGGTCCCACGCGACGCACTGCAGCCCCATCTCTCGAAACGGGCTCTCGGACGGAAAGTGCGGCACGAGCGACTGGTCCTGGACGCGCTGCATGATCTCAAAGTCGTTGAGCGGCCGGCCTTTGGCCGTCACCTCCTTTGCGAACGGCATCACGTGCGTCTCGAGCTCGACGAAGATCATGCCGAGCGAGTAAATGTCGGCGGCCACATTGTACGAGCTGCCAGAGTAGACCTCGGGGGCCGTCCAGCGCAGCGTCCCAGCGCCCTGCGTCATGAAGACGTCGGTTTCGCGCGACCCGTTAAAGTCGGTGAGCTTGACCTGCATGTTGGAGTTGACAAGCACGTGCTTGCACTTGAGGTCGCGGTGGATGATGCCCCGGGCGTGGAGGTACTGGAGCCCGGTGACAATGTCGATGGCGTACCGGACCTTCTCGGTCCAATGCATCTCGTGCACCGGGGTACGTGCGAGGTACTGCGCGAGGTTGCCATTGTCCATAAACTCGTAGACGAGTTGGACGCTCTCCGAGACGTTCTCGGGCGAGTAAATGACGCCGTACATGGCCACAATGTTGGGGCAGTCGAGCCTACGCGCCGTAAGGATCCAAGTAGAGACCCGCGTACTACGTACTTCATGAGAATTTGGATCTCATGCACAAACTTGGCCGTCGCGTTCTCCATCGAGTGCACTTTGAGGCTCTTGACCGCCACAACCTCGTCGTCGTAGACGCCGCGCCACACCTCCTTGTCTTGGCTCTGCGCGAGCTGCTCCGTGAGTGTGAGCTGCGCTCCGTCGAGGCGCCAGAGCTCGAGTTCCTCCAAAAGGTCGGCGTCGGCTTTGGCCGCGACGACGAGGAAGCTGCTGTTCTCGTTGCTGTAGATCGTATCAAAAGCCGGCATGTACGCGTCAAAGCCATCCTCAATGTCGCACGACTGCTCTGTCACGCGGGCCGAGAACGTGCCACTTGGCGGCGGCGGCGGCTTGGCGGGTTCGTGCGAGTAGTAGCCCGCCGACTCTTGAGCTTTCGCCTCCATCTGGTGGAGCGACTTGTGCGTCTCGGCCCACATGAGCGAGTCGAGTTGCTCCTTGTGCTTCTTGCGTCGGCGCAGGACAAAAAACGCAATCGCGCCGACGCAGACGAGCGCGCCGACCGCCAAGACGAGGTAGCCCACCGTGCTCATCACACCTACGTTACGTTGGGTGAGCCCTTGCGTGAGGTGGACGAATCGGGTGGTACCGCTCGAGTTGGAGGCGGCGTCGGCCGGCTGCAGCACGGTCGTGGTCGTGGGTCGTGGCGCCTCGGTCGTGCTGCCGTTGGATGACGGCTCGACGTCCCGCGACGCCGGTTTCTGTGGTCGCCAACGTCGCCGATGGCGTGGCGGGCGCCTTGGACGGCAGCGCTGTCGTCGGACGCGGCGCTAGTCGTTTGTTCTGCGCCAGCGCCGTTGGTGCCAGTGTCGTCGGCGCATTCGTCACTGGCGCGTCGGTCACGGGACTCAAGACGAGGCGAACCTTGTAGCACCAATGGCTCGGGTCGTCGTAGCCTGTGATGCCGTACAGTGTCTTGTGCATCGCGCCGCAAGTGAGCGCGTCGCTGGGCGAGCTATCGCACTTGCTCGAGGTCTTGACCCAGTTGCAGCTGCGGCCGTCGAGCGAGCCGCACTCGACGTCGCCGTCGCCATTGAGGCGGAAGCATCGATCGCGCCATTGACGCGCATGCACGACCAGTCGGCGGCCGCCGGCGCGACGGCCAGGACCAGGAGGAGGAGGAGCCGCATCGCTGCGTCTGGGATTATGTGCCCCGACGTGGCGGCACCTGCTTTGGCGCTGGCTCTCGGCGCGCCGAAACCACGTGGCAGAGCAATGGACCATGCAAACCACGGAGGGCCTTGCACTTTCTATTCCAAAGGTGTTTCGTCGGAATGTCATTTTATCATAACTGTCTCTTTTGGCACCCGGCTCGGCAACCAGGAAGTCGGAATACGAACGCCCTCTCGAATGCAATATGGACCACGTCAACTGTCTCTCTCTTGTACGTTTCCCGGTCGGCGTTGTACAACCTACATGTATTTACTTGTACGACGAGACGCACAGTCGATGGCCCCTCATCCTGCGCTGTTGGCGATCGTCTGTACTGTTTCAAGCGGCGCCACAGTGGTCAGTTCGAGCCGCCGCAGAAAAAACGCAGGTTCGAAGGCATGGAAGAGGTCATCGTCAGACCTCAAGTTGCGTGATATCGATTGTAGCATGTTGCGTAATCGGTCGACGTTGCAAGCGTCTAAACTGGGCACGCCGCAACTTTGCTGAATGAGACAGTTTCGGTAATGCTGTTGATGACCGAGCAAGCCACCTCCATCGACTTGGCTCTTCCTCTTCATATTGCCCTTGGAGCGCGAAGGAATTGCGGTATCGATCCTGAATGTCGTGAATAGCAACAACAAGCACAGGGATTTCCTCCTGGGTTGCGTGCCAACCATAAGTTGGCTCAAGTTCCAAAAGGTTGCGCTACTCGGTTACGGGCGGTGACTGGTCGAGGCTGCCGTTGGGCGGAGGCGTGCGTTCTCTGCTCTGCCTCGTCGGACTCGACACGGTCATCAACAACTGGGCCATCAACAACTTTGTGGGCAACGGCTATCAGTTTTTGACACCCCTCGCAACCGCGTCGGGCACATCGGACCTCCTCCGGCAATACTCGTTTGCGAGAGGCGCGAGTCTCTCCAAGGTCGCCCAGTGGATGTTCAACTACACAGTGACGCAGCTCAAACGCCAACGTCTTCTTGCTCTCGGCCGCGACATTCAATGGCGAAAGCCGCGTCATGGGACTTCTCAATCTGCGCAACGTCACGTCTCTCTACCTCTCTGCAGTCTTGCTCTTTTACGTCCCACCGTTCATCGAGTACAACAACGCGGTGCGAGTCGACTTGAAGAACTCGGTCGAGCCGCTCGATGGGACCATCGTCGACTTGCTCGAGAGCTGGTACGTCCGGGGCACAGGGGCCATCACGGGCGGGCTCCTCCTCAACATTCTGCTCGTGCTCGCCTTCGACCAGATTGTGCACCGCCGCTTTTGGCGGCGCATGGCCAACAACAGCCTCGCGCGCCAAGCCATGCTCAACAGCACATCGATCCTCATGGACTTTGTCTCGGACGTCGATGCGAACGGCGCCGTCCTTGTCTGCAAGGCGCGTCGCCTTTTGACGCTGCAGTGGTACTTTCTATCGCAATTACAGACGTTTGGACTGCCAGAGAAGGACCTTGTGCGCGCCAAGAAGCTCGCCCAGCAGCGCCGAGTGCCGTCTGTTCAATCAACGACAACAACGTCGACAGCCGTCGATGCGTCGCCAGACATGCTCTGCACAATCGCCCAGGACAGTGGCCACCATCTACACCTTCTCGACGACCAATTTGTCGACATGACCAATCTCGTCCTGAATATCAAAGTGCTTAAAGACACGTCCATTACCATTCACTGAGACCACAAAACATCAAAACCAAAAATTAAAAATAAACGTATCAAATTAGCAACATGGTGGAAATCAAATAGACGAACTTAAAACATAGCTTTCCCAGCACGCTGCAGCCACCCTGGCTACGTCAACTGCAACTCGCGCGTTGGCCCGTAGACTCCTCATTTTCGTAGCGGTAAAGCATAGCCAAAACGACGGTCGACGAGGTCAATATTTTCGCACGTGCGCACGCGAAGATCGCTCGCGACGTCGATCGTATGGACGCACCACGTCTTGACGTCAAAGACAAGCCACTGATTTTGATACCGGACACTCAACAACCCGTTCAGAACCGCCGACGCGCGGTCGAGATGGTAGACACCGCCAAGAAACCAATCGTGGTGCTCAAAGAGGTACTTGGCACCACCGCAGAGCAGCATCGACGAGCTCAGTCGCTTTGGACCACTCTTGGAGAGGCAGCGCACCAGACCAAAGCAGACACCGTTGCAGACCAGCACGGTCCCCACCAGCGTCAGAAGTCGCTCCAACGACCCAATCACGACACTTCCAGCGACGCACACTACTTGGTAGTCGAGCGTAGCCATCTCACAGGTTGGAGACACAATGATCGTGGCCTGGACCGGCGCCAGAGTTGCCAGAAGCGCCGAGATGAGCCACATGACCAGACTGTTGATCGTCGCGTAGGCGATCGTGTGGTCTTGCGTCCAGACGAGCGAAATGTCGTTGACGATACCGACGAGCCACGTGACTTCATTCGCCGCGAGACACGTCGTCCAGAGCGGGATAGGCGTCGTGACAAAGTAGCTCAAGACACCGTCGGATTGCAGCTCAATGGAAGCGGTCGAGAGAAGACAGAGAGCTGTGATGCTCCGTACCGCGACCAGAGGTCGACCGACCCAGACAATGCCGCCGACGCGACTCATTTCAAACATGTTGAGACCCTCGACGTGGCCCCGGGCCAGAAGAATGTGCACAAACGTCACGGCTGCGAGCATGATCATGACGTAGGTGACGTATCGGACGGCTTGGAGAGCGTAGAGAGCAAAGACAGTCGGTAGCTGCGCCAAGTCGACGGGCTGAGTTATCTGTTTTAAGGATGCACCCATAAAGGTTAGGGTATGGAGGTCGCCTTGAACGAGATGACTTCGCGGTTGCCAATCGCCCAATCAAAAAGGAAGAGCCATGCGAAGAAGTCAAAGCTTGGGTCTGATGGATTCAGAAGAGGCGTGTGGAAGAGCTCAATCGGTGCAGTCTTATTGACCATACCAAACTGAACCCACTCGATATGTAGGGCGTGAATAGCGGTGTAGAGTGAATGCCGCCAGTTGGGCAGCGCTGCAAGGTAAGGAAGAAATGCCAGTCCTGCACGGATTTTGGTATCACAATTGTCTCGGTTTTCGAGGTTTTCAAGAAGACAAATCGACGTGACGTTGGTCGCCACACCGATACCGGCAAGTAGCACGCCAAAGAGAATGTGGTCGCGCGACGGTACAAAGCCAAGCGCAGGATACGAGGTAGCGCAGTCTCTGTTAAAGGCGTCTGCAGCGAGGATCCAATAGAACTTTGCGGCGTACGCGGTCGGCTGGTCGGGACACAAGACAGAGCCACTCACAGTGTAGATGGTCTCCGTCCACTGAGTCGGCGCTGGAAACGTGTAAAACTTGTCGGAAATGCCCAGGTACGACGTCGCATTGAGCTTCCTCGCGCCCGCCACCGCAGTGTCCAAAGCAGCTATAGCGTCTTGCAGGACCGATGGCACGCTGATATAGACCGTGTCGATCGATCCAAACGGCCCGAGGTACGACGACAAGACCACATAGTTGGCACTCCACGGCAGCACTGGTAGCACCTTTGCAGTCACCAGTATCTCTTGGAGCGATGCATTTTGATAGGCGAATCGACTACTGGGGCGCAAAAGACTCTGACCACCGATGGTCGAAGTGTTCTCGAGTAGACTGCCGAGGTCGTTGGCGAGAGACCAGTACATTTTGAACGACGTCTGGCTCGTGAAGCGAGCGTAGGTGGCCGTCGACTGCAGCGCGAAGGGATAAGAGGCGCCGTATGCGTTGACAATGGTGTACGAGGTTGTCAAGCCAATCGACTTGTAGTTTTGCCACTGCAGTGTATAGGACGTGACGCCTTTCCGAGTCCACACCGCCGCTTCGTCGTCGATCGGGAGGTACGGCGGCGTAAACGTCGCTAAAAGAGCTTGGCCGGCCGTCGACTGGCGCAGCTCGGACCCAAACCCAATCTCAAATTCTTCGCCCCAATACAGTGTCAGGTTCACGTTTCTAAGCAGCGAGGCCAGAAAGACAGCGCCGTTATGGACCATCGCCTTGCATCGCTCTTGGCGCGTGACCGAGTTGGCCATTTCCCACTTTTGATCAAAATCGAGGTAGCAGTACTGTGTAAAGACCCACGGGCCATCACACTCATCCAAGGTACGAAGACCCGAGATCGCATCGGAGAGAGCGGTTAGAGTCGAGTACTGAACCCTCGCGCCTTGCTGGATGGGAAAGGCGACGGAGGCTTGTGATAGGTTGAAGAAACCAAGAGCGTTGATATGCTGGTTGTTGGTAAGAGCTATCACCGACCCTTTGAGAAACGAGCGCTCGTTGAAATAGTTGGCGAGAACGAGATGCGCCCCCGTCATGTTGAAGCTAGGCCAAATGAGGTCGTTCATCAAATGGGGTTGCGCAAGGCCGAGGTACGAGATACTGCTGTAGATCGCCGTGATGACGTATACCGTACCAAGCGACTCCGACCCGCGACCCCCAGCGTTTCCGTATCATTGACGGATCGGGCTCCATGGGCATCACCATCGCTGCCGTCGGAGACACGAAGAGGAGGCGCCAGAGCTTGAGGTCAAAGATGGCGGACCCTCCAAGAGAAATCAGACCAGAGGCGAGTCGGCCAACTGAATCCAACTCCGAGTGTCGGTCCAAAAAGGCTTGCCCAACGACCGACAGCATCGAACTTGCGTGGAATCTCTTGGTCTCCCGCAAAGTTGCGCGTGATGTGATGCAATCCAAGAGCCAGAGGCATGGGATAAACACGCACTGGAGCAGTCCAATGACTCGCAGCCGCGATAGCTGCCCCATCTGCAGCGTGACACTGTTGCATCGGACGTTGTAGTAGATGCCGCTAATGGTACACTTGCGATCGATGGTCGCTGTCACATTGACGGGCCAGCCAACGTCAATGATCACAAGCGCCAGCCATGTCAGTGATGTGCCCAGAAGCCCAATCGACCGGGCGCGGTGGCTCTGCAGGGGTAAGAGCAACTCGTGGACGACGTACCCAATCCACGTCGCTTCCCACGCCAAGAAGCACGTCTCGAGAAGCGGGCAGGTCGAGAGCTCCAGATGCGCATAAGTGTTGTGCACGCGATCGAGCCCAATGAGTGCCGAGCTGAGCAACACCAGTGCGCTGGCGCCGCGAAGCAAAAGCAGCGGACGCCCGAGCCACGTGGAGCCAGCGATACGGTTGAAGACAAAGAAGTTGTTGCCCGAGACAGCGCCGTGCGACACTGCCGAAACGATTAGGGTTGCGACGGCGACAGCGCCAAGCACGAGACTCGAGTACGCAACAATGTAGTAGACACCGGCCGAGGCGTGGCTGAGACTGCTGCTGCTGCTAGAGGTACTCGGCGTCGAATCGTAGGCGTCCGAGATCAAGACCAGCGTTCCGTTGTCGCCCTCAAACGAGACGACTTCACGAACGCCTGCGACCCAGTCCAAGAGTAGAACCCAGCCAAAGAACGCGAATGGTGACGGGTCGAGCAGCGGTTGTCGTAGCAGCGAATAGTTGGTTTCACTGACATCCGAGGCAACTTGCACAAGGCTGACATCAAGAGCTGCGATGGCTGCGATGGCATCGCGCACCAGCGTTTGATTGAGAGCGCGTAGGCCAAGTGTCTGCGCTTGATGTAGGAACGGCTCGCACTCATCCGAGGCAGCAAGTGCGCAAATGGCCTCGACCGAATCGTTGACAAGCGATAGAGCCGACACCATGGTAAGTGGGGGTACGGACACTGTCCAGAGGCTCCGAGTGATGCACATGTCGGCCATCGTGAATGGCGGATGAACAAATGTTTGCGGAGTCCGTAGATGCACAAGAGACTGCCACCCCAAAAGACATGTTGTCCACTCTTCCACGCTAGTGGTGTCGGTGTCACCGAGAGCGATCGAAGAGTTGCGTAGGTGGCCGCCGACGAGCTGTCGAGATCTCTGTAAAACGCAGCATAGAGAGCTTTCGTGAGCGAGACAAGAGCTACCGGTGGAGGCACAACAAACAAATCGATCGAGAGAAATGGACCGAGAGCCACACGAACCAAGCCTAATTGGGTGGCGTCAAAGTATAAATGAGCGTACGAATAGGCCTCGAATGGTCGTGGCGGCATCCCAAAGCAGGTCGTATTAAGATGGTGATTGGGTGTGTCGCGAATGAGACTCAAGTTGCACATCGCGGTCGTGGACATATCCATGGCCAGCGGCCGACTAAAGGCGTTGGACGACTCTGGACCTTGGCGGGGCTCGGTGCTCTTGAGTGTCACAGATGTCGGTATGCCGAGGGCGTTGACAAGCGTCGCTGTCTCGACGAGACCTGGGTGGTGCCCATTCTGGTACTGGAAACGGAAGCCAGTGACGCCAAACGACTGCCAGTGCGCGACTTCATCTGCCACCGTAGTCTTCGCAGTCGCGACGCTTTGCAGCCATCGGACGCCTCTCACCGATGCCTCGAGACCACTCACGATGGCAAACCAAAAGTTGGAGTTGGGACCGCCATACGTAGCAATGTAGGCGTCCCAATCGATATTGCGAAAGATGGCCTCGAGGTACACGGCGCCGTTGGTAGCATACTGCTGCTGGCAGCGCTCTTGCCGTCGCTCGGTGTGGGCGAGCTCGAACGCTTTGTCCAAGTCGACCCAGCAGTACTGCGTCGGGAGCCACTCAATCATGTCCAGAGACATGTTGCGCAGACTCGTGATGGCAAACTCGAGGGATCGGAGCTTGGTCGTGAGCAGCGCATTGCGTACGTCGGGTGTGCGATCGCGGTTGTCAGCAGGCTGTCGTAGCGCGCCTCGAGCATCACCGCGCTCAAGTCGGCAGAGGAAGCATCATGCGTTGTCTCCAGCAGCTGGTTGAGGGCGTCGACGAGGAAGGTTTGGTACCCGGACGCGTTGTAGTTTGACCAGAGGAGATCGTTGGCGAGCCTCGGTTGCACGAGGAGAAGGTAGTAGATACTACCTGCGAGCGTTGCACAGAGCCAGAGTGCCCCTGCGAGGCGCCACCGACGTGGCGACAGATCGAAAAGCCCCGTCGTCGGCTGGATGCGCATATTGCCCTTTGCTGCACTGGACAATATGAACAGCGACGGCTCAGGTACTAGGATCGGTTTCATATCTTTTGAAACCCGATCCAGTGATTTGACGCCCTAAAAGCGATTCAAGGTAGCGTGCCTGAACCGTCGCCCGCACGACTCGTTTCCACGTGGCATCGAGGCGATGTCAAAGCCGATGCTTTGTTTTACGCTCCTCGTCCCTGGGTTTTGTGACGTACACGAGGACCGGTTGTGGCGTGAGGGGCCACTTGGATTTTTACCTCGCCGGTCACCAGAAGGAGGCGATAAAAACACTCGACTCCTCTGATAACAACGGGGCCGCCGACGTGTGGTGCTCTGGCATCGCCCCTTGTATCGGGTAGTGTAGTTCTAGTAGCTCCCAGCTCTGTTACGGTGTCGCTCGTTGGCAGACGACATTGTGGACCGCCACGTCATCCATGTTGCGTGTGACTAGCTTTATTCGGTAGGGAGTCGAAACAAGATCTTTAGTCCAAGTAACGGACCGACCTTTCGGTGCCGGAAGAACCATTTTCCGATTTGCAAGCTTCCTCGCAAGAAACGGGTCTGCCGACTTTGACATCGCCCCTTGTATCGGGTAGTGTAGTACTATTAAGAGTAGCTCCCAGCTTAAGTCCAGTGTCTGTGCATCAGATCCTGATTCGTCGAAATGGCAAAGGTTGCAAACTCCAGTTGACAAAGCGTTGGCGGCCAAGTCGCCCATGTCCCTCTGCAGCAACGGTGCAGCATGCGTGCGTCGATGGACCAAGGTATTGACAGTAGAGTGTATAAATCTCGTCCTCCATGTCGACTAAAACCACTCAATATCAAGGTATGAAGGTATCAAACTGATATTGTATCCAATTGGCCTAATCGCACAATTCCAAAATAAAAAAGCATGAGAGCACCAGGCTAACTGGGCAACACAACACTACTAGTATATCGCTAACACTGTCGCAGTGCGTCCCGCAGGTACCGAACGATGTCCTTGGCCTTGGGGCGCGCCGCCGGATCGAACGCGATGCACTGGATCGCGAGGTTGTAGACGACGTCGGGGCAGCTCGTGCTGAAGCTGGGCTCGACGCCGCCGCTCATGACGCGCTCCATGAGCACGCCGTCCGAAACATTAACAAGCTGCTGCGCGGCCGGCCGGTCGCGCAAGAGCACAAAGTCGCGCAGCGATTGGAGCGGCTGCTGGAGGTCATAGTACGGCACGTGGTGCGTATCCAACTCGGAGAGGATCATGCCGAACGAGTAGACGTCGGCGGCAACCCCATAGCGCTTGCCTTCCAAGACTTCGGGGGCGGTCCAGCGGTAGCTGCCGACACCCATGGTCATCGTAGCGGTTGTGGCTTGGCGCGCGACGCCAAAGTCCGAGACTTTTGCCTGCATTGCGTGGTTGAAGAGAACGTTGCGGGACTTGAGGTCGCGGTGGACGATGCCAGCCATGTGCAGCGCCAAGAGGCCTTTCGCAATGTCTTTGGCAACCGCAATCTTTTGCGGCCACGGAAAGAGCAGCGTTGCGTTGGATCGCGTCGCCTCCAAATGGTGCTGCAGGTCGCCCTTGTCCATGTACTCGAGGACGAGCTCGACGTCGAGAAGACGCACGTAGCTAATGCCAACCACGCGCACCACGTACGGGCTCTGCACGCTATGACACAAGAGGCGATAAGACATTTGGAAGAAACCGCGCGATGTATACCGCGTCATGAGCAGGATCTCGTCGAGGAAGGCTTGGATGATGGGCGCCGTGCGCTCCGAGGCGAGCGGCGTCTTGATCGCGACGAGCTGGTCGCGGTACCGGCCGACG